GTCGAGGTGATCTTCTACGTGACGCTGTCGCTGGGGGTGTGGAAGGTGAAGTATGGGCCGGCGTCAGGGCGGACGCATGCACACCCACCGACCAACACCTCAATGGCGATGGTCCCGCTGCTCGTCGAGGTCGACGAGCCCACTGGTGAGGATGTCGTGGAAGTTCTTCATCCTCCCCCTGTTCTTGCTCCTACCCCCCCCGTCTCAGATCGGCCTGCGTTGACACCTGTGTCGGCCACCAGCGATGAGGGGAGCCTTGATGCGTCGCCTGTGGCGTCGGCACGTGGCATCGCCGGTGGCCGACAAAGCGCCAAGCTCGTCGACGAGGATGGGAAGTCGTCGACAACAGGGGAGTAGCAGACAGGGGAGCCGGTCAAATAGGAGGCAGCAGCAGGGGTCCTGTCGACAGGGGAGCAGCAGACGGGGCGATCGACAGGGGAGGGGTCAAAGTTAGCAGGAGGAGAGCAGCCGGTCGACGTGTCAAAGCAGCTGGTCGACGACAAAGATGTCGATGAGGAAGGGGAGCAGTCGGCGGGTGAGGAATCGACTGATAGCGATGTGGTGGAGGTGCCGATCACGAAGTCTGAGCTGCAACGCACAGGCCAAGCTCGACGGCCACCGGAGCGGCTGAGCTTCCATGCCTGCCTACCGCCAACTGCCTCCACCACGGTGTACGACAAGGTCGACGATGACCTGTTGTACGACGATGCCGAGGAGGATGAAGAAATGCCGGAGCTCGACCCCGACATGCATGCAGACCCCAAACACCGCTAGATCATCGCCACGATGACGGTGAAGGAGGCGCTGGCGAGCTGGAAGGGCGAGGCGGTGAAGGCCGCCATGGAAGAAGAGATCCGCAGCCTCATCGGCATGGGCACTTGGGAGCTGGTCGAACGCCCACGCGGGGTGAACATCATGAAGAACCGGTGGGTGTTGACGACAAATTACCACGTCGACGACACCGTCGAGCGCGAGAAGGCGAGGCTGGTCGTGAAAGGGCTTCACGTGGTGTACGGTGCCGACTACGACGAGACATACTCGCCAGTGAGCAGCTGCGTCACGCTGAAGATCTTCCTCAGCATCGTTGCCGCCCTCGACCTCAACCTGATGCAACTAGACATGAAGAACGCTTTCCTGCAGAGCAAGCTCGACAGGGTACTCTACATGTACCAGCCAGACTACTTCGACGATGGGACCGGCCGGGGGTGTAAGCTATTGAAGAGCCTCTACGGGCTGAAGCAGACGCCGCTGCTATGGTACAGGGCTCTTGACAGTGTGCTTCTGGGCGCTGGCTGGAAGAAGAGCCAGGTCGACATGGCGCTCTACTTCAAGGCCGGCAATGACGGAGTGACCTGTTGGGTGTTGGTCTACGTCGACGACCTGCTCACCGCCAGCAGCAGCACGGCGATGCTGAAGGAGCTGCTGGAGGTCGCCTTTGAGCTGCGTGAGATCTTGCCGGTGGTGAATTACCTTGGGCTAGAGATTGTGCGCGACAGTCCGGAGAGGAAGCTGTGGCTGCACTAGGAGAACTACGCCGACAAGCTGCGCAGGCGCTTCATCGATGAGGAGCAGGGCGGTCGAGTCCCGAAGACGCCGGTCTCAATTGACGCCTAGGCCGACCTTATGTTCGATGACAAGGAGGCCCAGGAGTGTGAGGAGGAGGAGTACCGGCAGAAGGTTGGCTCGCTGCATTTCGCGGCGACGACAAGGAGGCTGGACATCGCGTTCGCCTGCAGCAAGCTGGGGGGCAGCCTCACGGTGCGGAGCGACCAGCGTTGGCGCGAGGCCGACTGCTGTCTCGCCAACCTCGCTGACACTGCCCTAGAGCTCAGCGGTGGACCAGAGTCGCTGGAGCTGATCGGCTACGTGGACGCCGACGACGCGGGCGACAAGCAGAAGCGGACAAGCACGGGCGGCTACATGTTCGTCTTCAAAGGGGCCGCGGTCTCGTGGTCGAGCCAGCGCATCAAGTGCGTGTTGCTCTCCTCGACCGAGTCGAAGTACGTCGCAGCCACGGACGCCGGGAAGGAGGGGCGTCGACTTCGCTTCCTCCTTGCAGGATTCAAGCTGATCGACCCTGGGAAGCCGGCTGACCTCATCGTGGACAACAAGTCGGCAATCACGATCGCTGAGGGCTTGGGGCTGACGCGCAACCTCAAGCATATGGAGCGACGATATGCCTGGCTGCAGCGCATGGTGAGGCGCGGGAAGTTCGTCCTGAAGTACATCCCGACCACCGAACACCCGGGTGACTTCCTGACAAAAGCGCAGCATTTTCCGGCTTTCAACCGGTGCTCTGTCACCGTTGGCTAAGTTCGTCTGGCCAACGTCGGCGACGGCGATGATGATGTGCAGCAGTAGGTGCCGTGCCCTTCTGCACGGCTGGTGCGGTGACGGCGTGCTATGTATGGGGTGCACGCCGAGGACGAGTTTTCTCCGTGGAGTACTGCCGTGCGGGCTGGAGGCCCGCGGCAGGGGAGTGTTAACGGGAGTGGAGTGTTGGCCCCTCCCTCGCTTGGGCAACGCCAACGACTTGGTCGGATGTATGGGAGTAGCAGCCGACCGTTCGCAGTGAAGGAGTTGCTCGACGAGCTTCGTCGAGCTACAGGGGATCACTATGGTGTTGCCGTCGACAAGGAGTGCTCGACGGCCTTCTTCTGCGGGGCAGGTCGACGAGATGGTTGTCGACTTGCACAAGACTGTCACGGGGCTAGAGCCGTCGACCAGGGATCTCGACAGCTGCAGCTATCTGGGCTGGGCGACGGGTGGACCGTCGACCAGGAGTGGCAGTTCGTCTGCGAGGTCGACAAAGCAGTCCGTCTACCTGATAAGTGAGCAGCGGTCGACGAGGGGAGCTCGACGACAATAGCTGACAGTTTTGGTTGACGGAAGGGGTCCGTCGACTAGGGGGTAGCTCGACAAGAGCTTTGGTCAACCAGAGGCACCCGGTGGTCGACCAGAAGCACCTAGTGGTCGACCGGAGGCACTTGGTGGTCGATGGTGGTCGACCAGGTCGACCAAGTAACCTGCTCGACGAGTTCTGCGGAGGCACACGAACGTCGTAGAGGTCGCGATGGCAAAGGCGACCTCGGGTTGGTATCCTGAAGTCGATGTGGCTTGTCAGGCGCAAACGACAGCCGACGGATGCTCAACGAAGCACGTCGGGCCAATCGTCTGCGCGCACCTGCGAGCATGCGCACTGCTGTCTTCTACGGGGCAATGCTGGTCAGCCGCTCTATTGCAGCGTTGGCACGCCGTCGACCTGCTGCGTTGGCAGGTCGCCCTTCTGCAGTGCTGGCGCGGCTCCTCTATGCAACGCTGGCAGGCGGTCGACCAAGCTGTGCTGGCGGTCGACTAGGCTAGTTGCAGGGTTGCTAGGTGCTTGACGTAGTCATTCTTGTCATTGTGAACTCACTCATTATGTAATTTTGACTTTGCTAGTGAAACTCTTGCCAACTTCTCCCGTGAATGTGCAAGTGCTAAGGAACGCAAGCAAAGCTACGATCATTCTCAGTAGTTCGTGCCAACCCCCGTAGTCTAGCTCACTACCGTTGTCGATTGACTCTCCGCAGTTTGTGCTCGGAGTGTGTGGTGACTTTGTGCGCCACCTTGAGCCTTGTTTTGTTGCTTGCTCTTGACTGGTCTTGTGACCGTTGTTTCATGTCAGAATGTTATTATCTAGCCTGTAGTGGGGTGCTCTATAGCGAGTACAACCCAGTTAGGGTTTCCTATATGTATCCCAACTGCTGCTAGTGAAACCTCCTCTTTCGTCATTCTTCTTTTGTACTTCCTATTGTTTCTGACATTTCACTTGCTAGTTGTTTGGTGCCCCTCACTTAGCCTATTGGGGTGTGTCAAATGTTAATATTGTGATAGGCTGCGGTGAGGTACTCCATAGGGAGTAACTTTGTTAGGCTTCCTTTTTGTATTGCATCCCTACCCTAATGCAATCAATCCGTTGCATTCTATTTCTAATATGCGAGTTTGTGATTACAAAAAACTGACGATAATTTAGGGGGAAATCCTAGCTAGGCAAGAACCACGGGAAATGTAGGCTCGGAATTTTGGCGAATAGTGCAGGGCGATTCGTGGTTGTTTGGTCGGGTTTGCAAACCGAACTAGCTGGCGCGAACCCTTTAGGACTGAACCCGCTAAAGTGCGACTGGAGTAACGACTTGTATTTCCTTACAAACAATGATCGCTAATCCACAATAGAGCACCCTTTCAATATCCGATTTTTTTTTTCCGGGCTTGCAGCTCCTTATACGGGTATTTAACGAACACATATAGGTAGCATTATTAGTGTAAATATAGGTAGCATTATTAGTGTACATAAGTTCTAAGGGTTTTTCCTGAAGCGCGTCACAAAGGCCTCGCGTCTCAATCGAAGAGATGCAGTGCGGTTGAAATGTTTTACACTTAGGTGTAATGCGGTGCAGACTGTTACAGAGGTTGGATGACGCGATTGACATCCGTGTCAAGAGCGGAATGAGCCCTAATACTCTTAGAGGTATTTGGTTGTCCTAAATCACTGGAAATTTAGGTTTGTGTGTGGTTCGATTCGGTTCATTTCGGTTGGTCAACCTCAAAGAAATATCTGCTAAGGGCGGGTCAAAAGAGTACGTCCGATCGCAGTTAAAAAAGGTTAAGGCTTGATTCAGAGCGTTCTGTTTGAAACACAAGATGGTTGGGTAGGGTTTCCTGCGAATACGTGCAAAATTTGACCGGCCCTAACTGAATCTCCGAAAGCAGGCGAACCTTGAGTGCTCTGCATGTGATCGAGGCTTGCACGGCAATGGCGCAGACGATTAGGCCTCGTCCTCACTAGCTAGGCGTAGGAAAGAGCACCCGCGTCATCTGCCCATCAGTGGCCCCCGCCCCCTTGCTCGCAATCTAGCGCGTTACCTTGGCGGTCGACTAGAGCTGATTGTTAGCTCTACTTGAGATTGGAAGAGGAAATTTTCATTGTTTCTAGATACCTTTATATCGGGAACGCAGCGATGGACGACAATGGCGAGGATTGCGTGTACTTCGGGCGCGCGTTGGAGCGCGCGGAGGGCGCGGGGGGCCGCAAGCTGCACCTGGCAATGGCGAAGGGGCGCGCGAAGCAGGCGGTGCCGCCGTGGCAGCAGGAGGCGCGCGACGATGAGGGCAGGCGGCGGTTTCACGGCGCGTTCACGGGGGGCTTTTCCGCGGGGTACTTCAACAGCGTGGGGTCCAAGGAAGGTACGAGGCACCTGCCATAGGCTTGGAGCCCAAAACCGGTGAGAGGAAGCAAAAGGAGGGGTGCAGGGAAGGTTATTCCATGCCTTGCCGCCATGCGAGCGTGCGCCTTTCGCGCGCTAGGACTCTCTCTCGGATTCTCGCACCAGTAGGCGCCGATGCGGCTGTTCCCTCGCTTGTTGTTCCCTCGCCTGCTGTTACCTCACTTGCTGTCCCGCTTGCTGCCGCTGTCCTGCTCGTCTCGCTGCTTCCTTAGTGGTCCGCTCGTCGGCACGAGGGGCGAGGTGACGCAACGCCCGAGGGGGCGACGGCAGCATCACTCATCCCACTGCTCTCCCCTTCCACCCCCAAACCCCCTCTCTTCATCCCAACCCCCCGCGTTTATCTGCCCGCCAGCCCCCCGCGTTTATCTGCACGCCAACCCGCCGCGTTTATCTGCCCGCCAACCCCCCGCGTTTATCTGCCCGCCCCTCCCCCGCGTTTATCTGCCCGCCAACCCCCCGCGTTTATATGCCCGCCAACCCCCCGCGTTTATCTGCCCGCCAACCCCCCGCGTTTATCTGCCCGCTCCCCCCCCCCCCCTCGCGTTTATCTGCCCGCCAACCCCCCGCGTTATCTGCCTGCCAACCCCCCGCGTTTATCTGCCCGCCAACCCCCCGCGTTTATCTGCTCGCCCCTCCCCCGCGTTTATCTGCCCGCCAACCCCCCCGCGTTTATCTGCCCGCCACCCCCCCACGTTTATCTGCCCGCCAACCCCCCGCGTTTATCTGCCCGCCAACCCCCCGCATTTATCTGCCCGCCAACCCCCTCGCGTTTATCTGCCCCCCCCCCCCCCCCCCCCCCCCCCCCCCCGCGTTTATTTGCCCGCCAACCCCCCGCGTTTATCTGCCCGCCAACCCCTCACCATCCAGCCCAGGGTGGCTGCCTGCATCGTTCCGCTCGTCGCGCTCGCAGCGCGCGGAGGTGCAGCCGCAGCGCGTGGAGGCGCTCATGGACGCCGACGAGCGCCACGACGCGCAGCGCAGCGCCGTGGCGGCTCACAGCGCGTTCGACACGTTCGGCTTCACCGCTGCTGAGCGCGCCCGCCACCTCGCCCCCGCCGCGGACCGGCGCCCCTCCGTGATTCCCGGGGGAGGCGTGGCAGAGCTGCTGGCGCCCGCTGCTGACTCCATCGGTGCGGCAAGGGGGGAAGGGAGGGCGGAGGCAGGGGGAGTGAGGGGCTGCGCCAGAGGAGGCAGGGGGAGGGGACAGTTGGATTGGATGGGTGGGGTGGCTTGTTGCCGTTGGACTGGCTGCTGACTGCTGGGAGTGCAATGTGGAAACGTTGTCCCTTCCCTGTCTGCTTGTGCACTCCACTTGCACCACGTCCCCCAGCCAACCTGTCCTCTGCTCTGCACGTCTGAACCCATTGCCTCAGTGCCCCATGCACATGCATACCTCCTCTCCCCCCCACTTTCCTTCCACCTCTCCCACTTCCCGCCCCTCTCCAACCCCCCTCCTTAATCCAACACGCTTCACATTCCCCCCTCCACCAGCCTTCCCCGCTCCTCCCGTCCCCCTTCCCCAACCACGCGAGCCAGGCAAGGCGTTGCTGCGCAGGATGGGGTGGAGAGAGGGCAGGGGGCTGGGGCCGGACGAGGTGGCTGTCAGAACATTATAGCTTATGCTTTTGTGTAGGCTGTAGTGGGGTATCCCATAGGGGGTACAACCCAATTAGGGTTAGTACTTGTACCCACTTCACTCATAGTTAATTCATTCTCGTTTCTCATGGTATCGAGCAGGTTCCCTCGTGGGAACTGTTCCTAGGGCCCAACGATCCTCCTTTTTTTTTTTTTCCTGCCCGGGGCGCGTCCTGCCCCTGCCCGAAGCGCGCCTAGGGTCGCAACTTCCTTAGCAGCCCGTCGCGTCGCCCTTAGCGGCCCGTCGCATCGCCCTGAGCGGCCCGTCGCGCCGCCCTTACGGCCGCGTCGCGCAGCCCTAATGGCCGCGTCGCGCCGCCCTTTCACAAGCGGCCCGTCGTCGCCCTTCTCCTGCGGCCCGCCGCCCTCAACTGCGGCCCCGCCGCCCTCAACTGCGGCCCCACCGCCCTTCTCTGCGGCCCCGCCACCCTCTGCTGCGGCCCCGCCGCTCTCACCTGCGGCCCCGCCGCTTTCACCTGCGGCCCCGCCGCCCTCAACTACTGCGGCCCCGCCGCCCTCAACTTCTGCGGCCCCGCCGCCCTCAACTGCGGCCCCGCCACCCTCAACTTCTGCGGCCCCGCCGCCCTCAACTGCTGCAGCCCCGCCGCCCTCAACTGCGGCCCCGCCGCCCTTCTCTGCGGCCTCGCCGCCCTCTGCTGCGGCCCCGCCGCTCTCACCTGCGGCCCCGTCGCCCTCAACTGCTGCGGCCCCGCCGCCCTCAACTACTGCGGCCCCGCCGCCCTCCTCTGCGGCCCCGCCGCCCTCCTTTGCGGCCCCGCCGCCCTCTGCTGTGGCCCCGCCACCCTCACCTGCGGCCCCACCGCTTTCATCTGCGGCCCCGCCCCTCTCGTTAACGGCCCCGCCGCTCTCATCTGCGGCCCCGTCACCTGCTGCACCGCCGCGCCGCCCTGCAGCAGCACCGTCGAGCCGCCCGGGCAACCGAGCAGCTGGACAGCCGGCCGCCTAGCCGCCCAGCAGCCCTGCAGCCGAGCCGCCCAGCAGCCGAGCCGCCCTGCAGCTGAGCCGCCCAGCAGCCGAGCCGCCGTAGAGTCGAGCCGCCGGACCGCCGAGCCGCACTACAGCCGAGCCGCCCAGCAGCCCAGTAGCCGAGCCGCCGATCTGCCGAGCCGCCCTCCTGCCGAGCCGCCCAAGCTGCCCTGTCTGGTGAGCACAGTGCCTCTTTTACTACACTGCCCTCACCCTACTGTTGCACTGCTGGTCTACTGTGGTCATGGCTACCCCTAGTGTCCTCGCTTTTGACGCTGAGGGTCGAGCCATTGACTTACACGTCTGGGTAGATGACCTGCAGCTATTCTTACAGTGCGATAGGGCGGACGGTCTCTCTCTCTTTGACCTCACCTCTGGCGCCTCTCCTGCCCCTGCTGCTGATGCTGACGCCACTGTTCGCTTCCAGTGGGCCACGCGCGACGCTGCTGCACGTCTTGCTGTGCGTCACCACCTCCCTACCTCCGAGCGTGCGCACTTTAGTCAGTACAAGAGTGCTCAGACCTTGTACGACGCTGTAGTTGCGCGCTACTCCTCCCCTGCCACTGCTGCACTGAGCCGTCTCATGCTACCGTACCTCTTCCCTGACCTTGCTGCCTTTCCCACTGTCGCTCACCTCATTGCGCACCTCCGCACTAGTGACACTCGCTACCGTGCTGCGCTTCCTGCTGACTTCTGCGCCAAGAAGCCCCCCCCCATGTACATCACTCTCTACCACATAGTCACTCGCCTCCTTGACTCCCTTCGCGTAGTCAGGGACCACTTCCTCTCAGTCTGACCCACCACTCTCACTGTTGACCTCCTCGAGAAGTCCCTTCTAGCGGCCGAGAAGAGCATAGTCGCTGTAGGGGCCTCTCGTGGTGACCCGCTCACCCCGATCTTTGAGGGGTGCTCTCCCTCCCCCCTTCTGCCCTCTGTTGCCTTTGCTGCTACGGCCGACCTCGTTGGTCTGGAGTCGTTCGGTGCGGCGTCCGCCCCTAGCGGGAGACGCCGCTCTTGCAAGGGCAAGGGGGGCAAAGGCGTTGGAGGAGCGAGCGGGAGCGGTGGAGGTGGAGGCGGCGGGGGGAGTGGGGGTGTCGATGGGAGTGGAGGTGGGGGAGGAGGTGTCGATGGCGGCAGGGGAGGCGGAGGCGGCAGCGGCGGTGGTGGTGGGAGCGGAGGTGGCGGAGGTGGTAGCGGTGGAGGCGGCGGCGGAGGCGCAAGTGGTAGCGGAGGCGGCGAGGGTGGCGGTGGAGCTGGTCGCGGGTCTACACAGAGGAGTGGTTCCAGTGGTGGCCAGCGCCAGCAGCAGCAGCGCGGTCGTGAGACCATGTCCCCTCAGCAGCTCCTTGAGTGGTACACTGCACGCTAGTGGGGTGGGGGTTTTGGTCCGTGCACCTACGTCCTGCGCACCGGCGACCGTGCGGGTGAGCAGTGTGGGGGTGCGCACCCCACCCAGCGCTGCTTTGGCCGCCTGACGGACGCGTGGCGTCGTCAGTTCCTGGAGGCCACAGAGATCCCTCGCTGGGGCGAGCTGTGTAGGGCGGGAGTTGCTATCTATGATCTTGATTTTGATGCTTTTCTTTCTACCATGTATGCTGTGTCTATTAGTAATGAGGGTGACTGTTACCAGTGTTTCCCGCCCGATCCGGGCATTGGGACTGCTGCTCTAGGTACTGGTGAGGCTGCTGCCCTAGGTGCTTGTGACGGTGCTGCTCTAGGTGCTAGTGCGTCTGCGTCCTCAGGTACTGGTGAGTCTGCGCTCTCAGGTACTACGTCGGCTTCGGCCTCCCACACCTTCACCCTTGACTTTGGAGCTTCTAGCTCCTTCTTTCGGGACCGCACCACACTCACGCCGCTTAGTCGGCCGGTTACGGTGTCTCTGGCTGACCCCTCTGGGGGTCCTGTCCTGTCTCACTTCTCCACAGTCCTCCCGTGTCCGGCGGCTCCCTCTGGCACCCTGTCTGGTCTCTACCTCCCCTTGTTCTCTACGAACCTGATGAGTGGTGCTGACCTACGGGATGGGGGAGTACACCAGTTCACTCCTGCGCGTCAGCGGGTGAGGCACTGCACAGAGGCTAGCACACGCCGACACCTGGCTACGTTTACCCGTCAGCCGGGGTCGAGCCTGTACACACTGACCACTGCGTCTCCTCCCGTTGCTGCGTCGGGTCAGGTTTTTGCTGCAGCGTCCAGGTCTGGTCCTTAGTCTACCCCCTGTTCGTGTCGTCTCCTGTCTCACGAGACTCTCCTCTGGCACCACCGTCTTGGTCACCCCTCTCTGCTTCGGCTCAGAGGCATGGCCTCCCGTCTTCTTGTTTCTGGTCTCCCCCGGTCCCTTCCTCCCCTTCCTTAGGGCCCTGGCCCTATCTGTGTCCCCTGTGTCGAGGGGCGCCAGCGGGCTGCCCCTCACTCCTCTCAGTTTCCTCCGACAGAGGCCCCGTTGCAGACGCTTCACATGGACGTGTGGGGCCCAGCCCGCGTCCGTGGACAGGGTCACGAGCGCTACTTCCTGCTGGTGGTTGACGACTACTCGCGTTACACCACATGTCAAATTATAATATTGTGTAGGCTATAGTGGGGTAGCCTATATGGGGTACACATTTCTAGGGTTGCATATTTGTGTCACTTCCATTCCTTAGTCATTCATCCTCGTTCTAAGTTTCTCATGGTATCGAGTAGTTTCCCTCAAGGGAACTGTGCCTAGGGCCCACCACATCGATTTTTTTTTCCTGCCCGGAGCGCGCTCCTCGAGTCGCGCTCCCCTCTCTGCATTCGTCGAGCCGCCCTAGCGGCCTCCCTTGCCGCCCCGCCGCCCTCACTTGCGGCCCCGCCGCCCTCAGTTGCGGCCCCGCCACCCTCACTTGCGGCCCGTCGCCGCCCTCGGTTGCGGCCCCGTTGCCGCCCTCACCTGCGGCCCCGTCGCCGCCCTCACCTGCGGCCCGTCATCGCCCTCAATTGCGGCCCCGCCGCCCTCACTTGCGGCCCCGCCGCCCTCTGCTGCGGCCCCGCCGCCCTCACCTGCGGCCCCGCCGCCGCCCTCCGTTGCGGCCCCGTCGCCGCTCTCACCTGCGGCCCGTCGCCGCCCTCAGCTGCGGCCCCGTCGCCGCCCTCACCTGCGGCCCGTCGACGCTCTCCCCTGCGGCCCCGACGCCATCCCTTTCACCAGCGGGCCTGCCGCCTTGCACCGCCCGCGCCACCCGAGCCGCCCGACTCTCCTGAGCCGCCCGAGCTGCCCGACCAGCCCGAGCCGCCCGAACCGCCCGAGCCGCCCGACTCTCCTGAGCCGCCCGAGCCGCCCGACCAGCTCAAGCCGCCCGAGCCGCTCGACCAGCCCGAGCCGCCCGAGCCGCCCGAGCCGCCCGAGTCGCCTGATCAACCGAGCCGCTGGTGCCGCGGAGCCGCAGTCGATGCTGTGCCGTCCGAGGAGCCGTGTTGCTGTGTTACTGCACTGCTGAGCTGCCCGACCCACCCTGTCCGGTGAGAGCAGCGCTTCTGTCACTGCACTGCCCCTGTCCCACAGTTGGTCGTGCTAGTCTACTACTGTCATGGCTACCCCTAGTGTTCTCGCTTTTGACGCTGAGGGTCGAGCCATTGACTTTGAGGTTTGGGTAGATGACCTGCAGCTCTTCCTACAGTGCGATAGGGCAGACGGTCTCTCCCTCTTTGACCTCACCTCTGGCGCCTCCCCTGCCCCTGCTGCTGATGCTGACCCCACTGTTCGATCCCAGTGGGCCACACGCGATGCTGCTGCACGTCTTGCTGTGCGTCGCCACCTATCTACCACTGAGCGCGTGCACTTTAGTCAGTACAAGAGTGCTCAGACCTTGTACGATGCTG